GAAGTGAACTGATCATTAGTCTTGAATGGGAGCGCTCCAACTGTAAACAGAAACCACACGTAAGAAACCAAACATTTAGAAGTTATGTATGTACCTTTATCGTCAGTTGTATAGAAATATTCTTGACAGCGAATGTTGACAATCCCGAGATGGCAAAGTTGCTTCCATTCTTCATTGGTTAGTGGAAATACTGCCTTCGCAATGAGAATGGATACAGCATACCGTATCCTAAGGCAGTTAGGCTCAATTCTAAACATTTGGAGGTTGAAACGATCAATATTCAAACATTTCGCTACCAAAGCCTCCAGATCAAGAACATCGACAAATCCGATGCTATAATCCCAATGCTTATCAGTGATAATAAGTAGTTCAACCTTTTTGTCTGACTTACCCCCAGTGAAGACCTCGAATCTTCCTTCATGATATATACTAGTCTCACAGACACGTCGTCTAATGTAGTCATTGAACTCCGATTCATATGCTTTTAGCTTCTCCTGCAGTTCTTGTGAACCAGTACATAGCTCAGTAATTACTCGTTTCAGAATAGAAAACTGGAGAAATGATATAAGGCTCTTCGTCACCAGTTCGAGAAAAACTCCACTAATGCTTGTTTCAGCTACAAGTTCAACCAGAGGAGATTCCTTGGCAATGTGCCTCACGTGCTGGACATCCATGATACAGATCAACAGCTTCTTCACATCACAGTGTATCTCATGTAGGTGGCTTTCAGTTTGAGCCCTCAACAGCGCATACTGCTCTATCATATGGTTTGTATCAGTGTTCACCTTACGTTGTAAAATTCTCTTCTCCATTTCAGGCATAGAACTGATGCTTAATGCAGTTGGTTTATCTATTGGTAAGAGATTTGTATGACACTCTCAAATACAGTAAATCTGCAAAATTAATAATTCAAGAATAGTAAGTAAAACATGACTGTAAACTGCACATACTGTGCCGGACAACCAACACAAACTGAAGACAAGGCTCTGTCTACAAACCAATACTGATAAAAAGGCTCCTGATATTCTGCAGTAAGTTGAGTGTCCAACAACACCTCTAGGCTGTTCCATTAAAACAAGAACATGTCTGTTAATTCACTGTGTAGAGCTGCAGGGCTTAAGCAAACCACTATTCCAATGGTTAATACTTGCAACAGTAATATACAGTGGGTCCCAGTCAATATCATACCCACCCACCCACCATGCATCCAAAAAATATGATAATATGTAGGATACTCTACAATGCTGGTGTGTATACTGTGTAGCTATACTGTTTGTATGATGACTGAGAGTAAGATCAACGGAATTCCAGCTAGTCCAAACAACGTAGATGCGTAGTGAGCGCTTCCTGCTCAGTCTACGGGTAGTTAGAACATAAAGAGGCCATACAATTTCCCCATACTTTAGCTGTATGTCAACTTATTTGCATAAACCACAGTGGGTCTACAGGAGTTAGACGATAGTAGGAAATTGGCAGCGTGGAATGCAATTGGGGGCTTTTGCACTCTTTGTGTGCTGCTGTTTCTATACCAGAAGGGAGTGTTTCAGGCCAGAAACTTCTCTAGTATATATACGCGGTCTGAAAACTAGCGAAAGCTGCTTCCCGACGCGTAGGCTCCCGTGGACTGGAACAGTATTAGGTGACTTTCATCTTTCTTGCTACTGCAACAGGCTGCATTCGAGAGTGCTGGGTATAGCGGGAGAGAAAGCGAGCCAGAGCGGCAGCTACAAAACTCGTGCAGCGAAAAGTATAGCTTTGACGTACCTGTAACGTTGAACTCTCGAGAAATGACCATGGCTTCTGCACAACCCCCCAGCTTGACTAAACTAAAGCGCTTATTGCAGCTGTCTCTCTCCCGATCGATCGCTAGCTAGCTCTCAGCTCTCTGGCCGACGGTGGCCGTACACTCAATGGTGTGCGTTAAAAAGAGGGCGTTTTGAAAGCTTTTGCGCAATCTCATTGGTCCGAGCCTTACCGCCAGATGTCATCATACAAACACATGGCATTGGCTTGTGGTCTACTGATTGCACACGCTCGTCTATCGTGTGACAACCAGTAGACCACGCGCCGCCATCGTATAACCTATACTTACAGTGAGCGCACAATGTATAATAGTTTGTTTAGCTAAGCTAATCAGGCTAGCCTAGCTGTTTACATAAGCTAATGGCAGCCAGGTGGAGAATGGAGAGTTACAAAACTCCAGTCCAAGGTTGTAGACTGCTTAATTAAGCATGAGCAATATGACAATAGCGGAAAAACCAAACTTGCTCAGTTTTTCTAAGGTAATAGGCGGGATACGATATTATTCGTATTTATAAATCGGAGTAAAATGTACGGGAAAGCATAGGAAATGGTTTTGGATTTCAGGTTTGTACGTATGATAATAAACAGGATACTCTATTAAACGGTAAGATATTAAGTGGGACCCACTGTACATGAAACTGCTCTGTCCTTGCGTAAACTACGCAACTCAAAGTCAATAGCTACGTATTTGAACTAAGGCAACATGTTGAATTTTGTCAAAGTTGTCTGTACTACAGGTAATGTTACCAGCAAAGTCAATAACAACTCCATCTACATACATTTATGGTGCAGATCTAAATTTTAGCCATAAAATTTTAAATTACCTGCTTTAGGTTGGGAGGTACTGGGTTTCAGAGTAGCTGCAGTAGCTCCAGATCCTGAGTCAGGGGAAGTGTGTGGAGGAGGAAGGGAGGGAGGAGGAACACTCCATGGCTGGGGATGCTGCTCTAACACCTCACGAGCAACATCTTCTCGAGCCACAGTTTTATTTCTCAGTGCCATGGCCACATGGGTCCAAGTGCAATCTCCAGTTCCTCCATATCTATTGAGCCATTCAATGATGACATTACGTAGCTTGTCGTCATTGTTTCTGTTTTCCAAATCAATATTTTTCAGAGTTGACTCAGAAAGACCGAAGACTCCCCCAATGTTACGCCACTTCTCTCGTGCTTCATACATTTTCTCAAAAACATCTTGAGTATTGTCTATTGTAAGGGTATTGACTGTTTTCGGAGCTGAAGTGTCTTTGACTGTCTCGTTTAGTCTTGTGGTATTAGTAGCAGTTTCACATTCTTGGGGAAGTGTGTGAGAGGATTCTGACTGACTTTGCTCAGTCTCTACTACTGCCTTGGAGATGGCGATCCCTGCAGAATATCACACCATGCTATTAGTTATTGTATGTGACGTCATCTGGGCCTTTTAGTCAACATAGTGTCACATCACTGTAACAACATGCATCAGCCAAGTTAAACGATAGGTCAAGGTATAATTGTGCCACATTAGTTTTTCCTATACTTTAATGACGCTTATTGCTAATAAGACGTATTGAATAGGGTGACACTGTAGCAATGAAAAGCACTAAAGAGCAAAAATCCTCGGCGCACTGCGCATGCACGGTATCACTAATTGGTGGTCTGGGGTAGACTATGCATTTACTTGTATTCAGCTCACGGAGAATCTGACATGGGCCTGCTACACTAGTAGATAGCATGCGTGAGTCCGATACACGACCTTCGCTGTGACTTTTTCCCAGGGTACACAGAACAATTGGATTAGGTCAAGGTAAGCTAAACTTTTATGACTGGGTTTCACACCATATCCCTCGAACGCAGTACTCTTACGAAATTCGCGAAACTTAAAATTAAACTGGTGTAGCGCTGAACCTTTCGGTATGGGTATTATGTTACACCATTGCATGCAGTGGTTGTAACAGACAGACAGACCGTGCGCATGCGCATCGAGGGTTAATGAGGCTAATGAGGCTAGGTTGGTTGCTGATGTCTATATATGGAAGGATACCTTCCCCTAATTTGCAGTGCGAAGTATGCCCGTAGTCTCGTTCCCAGACCCCGCCCCTCAGTGAGTGAAAGAGGGTCTGGGATCTTTTAGTCTCGTTCCCAGACCCTCCTGCGCGAAAGAGAGTCTGGGAGGGATCTTTAGTCGGCTTTCTTTAGTCTCGTACCCAGCCGCTCCACCCACAGGGGAAAAGAGTGTCTGGGAGGGATCTTTAGTCGGCTTTCTTTAGTCTCGTACCCAGCCGCTCCACCCATAGGGGAAAAGAGTGTCTGGGAGGGATCTTTAGTCGGCTTTCTTTAGTCTCGTACCCAGCCGCTCCACCCACAGGGGAAAGGAGCGTCTGGGAGCTATTGACAAAAAACCTGGTCCTACAGACGTCACATCCGTAGTATCCGAACCCCTTGTCTAGTATGCGGCCCCGCCTACCAAAGTCCATGGATTACGGATGCACGTGACATGATTGGCATTGTGCATCTGACTGGAGATCTGGTTTTCGAGACCTCAAGAAATGTGTCAATAGTTACCAGCCCCCATTTCCACGTGATGAGTGGGTGGGTCTGGGCACGACACTAGGCTTTCTAGTTCTTGGCATTATCGATGTTTGCGTAATTCGAAAATGAGGCGCTTGCACATGTCGCGTTTACAGACACGAAAAAAGCCAAGACGTCAATGCAGACAAAATGTCACTAACACTCAAAACAAACCTGCTCTAGCTTATACCTCCCCAGACTCATAAGAAGACAGCTTACAAGCGTACATCAATTTTTGCACGACTTTCTCAAGACAGAGCTTCCAAAAGATACCAGGAGCATCACAGCACCACTGCAACTTACAGACGGTCTCCGGAAAGTGTTCTAGACCACTATAAACTGGCTATCTCCAGCTCTAGACTGCTATTAGCTTCATAAATCGCGGTCGCTAGTCACGCCTGATTGTTACGTGAGTTAGAATCGTGCGTCTCATGATGCACGACACGAAAGGCTCTCTGCCTGTCAAAAATCGATCTCAAACTCGATCACTTACTCAAATTTCGTTGTTCAAATCGATCATCTTTGCTCGATTTTTGGAAATCGATCTTTCATTGGGAAATTGTTGTCTACTAAATTTTTCGCTCTAATCGATTTCGTAATCGATCTCGCGAACCACTATTCAGTGTGTGATGCCTCTCTGCGGACTATGATGCACTCGACATTTATTTGGACAGTCTGTGACGATGTCTCGACTTCGTGTGAACACCACTTTTTCCCCGCGAGGCACGCGTTTGTCTCAGTCGTAGATCTCGATCTCCAATCAGATCGCAGAACGAGCAATCAACATCATTTGCATCCTTAGTCCGCATATTATAGTAGGCTGAGCATCACGCACTAGAAGGTTCGGATAGTACGGATATGACTTCTTTAGGACCGGTTATACGGTAATGAGTTTGTAAAAACAAGGTGTAAGTGATATGTGTGGTATGTAAGCAAAGCGATGAACAATTCAACGACACCCACAACAATCCTAAGGCTGTGGCTGTTGAACTTTTGCTTCATGTAGCTCGGCTGATTCGTAGTGCGTGTCGAAAAGGACTATAATCATTAACCCTGCAATGTGCATGTTTCCCTCTGTGCCCCCTCAACATTGAAGATCCCAAAATTCTTCGGCTGGGTAACTCTTCCATGGCTCCTACGAATTCACTGCAGAGTTACTCTCCCTGAGGCCTCTTTCCAAGCAATGACAGCAATACTGTGTCAAGTGCCTTTATCCTCCCTACTCCACTTTGCCGCCTGGGAGGTGGGGCTTCTCTCAATCCCAGATAACAACAAACAATCACAATTTATGCTAGGCAGTGGTTTTCGGAAAAATTTACTCTATTTCGTAAACAATCTTCTCACTCAAACCGATTTCGTAAACGATGTTTCATTCGATTTTTCGCTCTAATCGATTTCGTAATCGATCTCGCGAACCACTATTGAGTGTGTGATGCCTCTACAAAACTCTGCGGACTATGATGCACGCGACATTGATTTGGACAGTCTGTGATCTGATTGGTGTCTCGACTTCGTGTGAACACCCCATTTTTCCCGCGAGGCACACGTTTGTCTCAGTCGTAGATCTCGATCTCCAATCAGATCGCAGAACGACCAATCAACATCATTTGCATCCTTAGTCCGCATATTATAGTAGGCTGAGCATCACGCACTAGAAGGTTCGGATAGTACGGATATGACTTCTTTAGGACCGGTTATACAGCAATGAGTTTGTAAAAACAAGGTGTAAGTGATATGTGTGGTATGTAAGCAAAGCGATTAACAATTCAACAACACCCACAACAATCCTAAGGCTGTGGCTGTAGAACTTTTGCTTCATGCAACCCGGCTGATTCGTAGTGCGTGTCGAAAAGGACTATAATCATTAACCCTGCAATGTGCATGTTTCCCTCTGTGCCCCCTCAACATTGAAGATCCCAAAATTCTTCGGCTGGGTAACTCTTCCATGGCTCCTACGAATTCACTGCAGAGTTAGCTACTCTCCCTGAGGCCTCTTTCCAAACAATGGCAGCAATACTGTGTCAAGTGCCTTTATCCTCCCTACTCCACTTTGCCGCCTGGGAGGTGGGGCTTCTCTCAATCCCAGACAACAACAAACAATCACAATTTATGCTAGAGGGCATAGGCAGTGGTTTTCGGATTGGTATCGCAACCTGCAGTCAGCTTACGACCACCCACAGGTAAAAACTGATTACCTCAAGCGGGAGGTTAAGCTGGGCCACCTTCAGGTCGTTCCTACCTCAACTGGGCTTGCCCCACAACTTCTTGGGACCTCCTGGTTCTCCAATCTGCAGCCAGACCCTGTCAACTACAATAGATCCGTCTACCCCAAGAGAAATTCCCTCGGCTCTTTGCCACACTGCCGCAGTGGATATCTCAGTTAAACTCAACTGGGTCAAGAACCTCAGGAAAGAAGTCACCATTGAGATCTTGCACAAACTCAGGGACATGGCGGCAGCATGTGTTGGGTTCTTCGGGTTCTTGCAGGAAGAAGAGTTCATCATTCCATCTACACAATCCTACGATCCTGAGATACATCTAAACCTGGGGACCTGTCCATAGACAGCCACTCTAACCTCTTCGCAGTCTACATCAAGCAGAGCAAAACCGACCCTTTTCGCCAAAGAGTCGACATCTTCCTTGGATGCACTGACACTGCTATTTGACCTATATCGGCATTTGCCCCGAACTCCCGCCCACGTGTATATTTTACATACCATCAGGGAGAACGTTAGCTCGTGCCAACCTGGTTGAAGAAAGCTCTCCACGCAGTCGGGCTACCTGAAGCAAAGTTCAACCGCCACAGCCTGAGGATTGTTGTGGGTATTGTTGAATTGTCCATCGCTTTGTTTAAATACCACACATGTATCACTTAGAGCAGCTATTAGGATTTTTAGCATTTTTTCAGACAGACCTTGTTTATACAAACTCGTTAGCATATTGTTCACAATTTTTCCTCCATACAAAATCTAGATGATTAAAAAGGCAGCAATTACACAGAAAGTGAATATTTCTTCACAATTGCTTTCACTGCCTTGTACTGTACACCAGGAGCATCCAATGCTGCACAACTATGCCTTCAGAAGAGTTGGGGAGCATTTCCTTCAATAGTAGAGTAAGTTTACATAACCGATGCTTATCTCTTGCCTCAAATTACATAACCTTCCTAAATATGTGTGCAGTGCGCTACATAATATGCAGTGTTAGCATTGGACACTCATGTGAAAATTATTCATTTAAAAATTCACGGCTATTACACTGAAAATTTGCTATTATTCTCTGACTATTCTTATCTCCAAGTCATTAAGAAACCACTAATTTTACTGTAACATAAAATTTATAGTGTTATAATGCTCTTGCGGATTAGGCATGATAAAGCCTGACTCAGGAGTCACCATTTCTACATCAGGTTTTAAAAAAACTCATGCAATACAGTACCTGGTAAACTGAGACACGCTTCGCGGGTGCGGTGTGCCCCGCTTTTTTTCACTGAGAGAGGAAAATGATTGACTTGCTGTTATGTAGGGTGTTTAGGATGTGGTTTCTGTTTTGAGTACGCATTTTGATCTTGACTGTGTAAAACAAAATGCACATGTGCGAGTATTCACTTACATTAACAACGACTGGTATTGGTCCCCGTTCAATTGCGGGTCCCTACACACTACCAATGCTTGTATCCTGGCTAGGCCTAACATCAAAAGCGCACCGCGGTATGTATTGAGTGAGTTAGCTGCTGCCCGTACTGCCCACGCGCAATAACGAGGGATGTGGGAATGCAATTAGTTGATGCGCACATTTGTACAGCAGAGGGTTCTTCGACCCTGCCCACGCGCAATGCATAGTGAAGTGTATCAGGAATGCAATTAGCATGAGAGAGGAATTTACACAGTACAGTGTATGTATACGCAGTCAAAGAACTAGAGCGTCAAATTGCGATCGACCAGGTAGCGCTGTAGACCACAGAGAATTTGGTGGATGTATTTTGGCGAATACGGGCTTGCCACTCTTGTTTCGAATTTCGCCTACAAAAATAATTCAACTCTTCCACGTTAGCTTTCTCCAAAATATCACTCAGACACTGCCGCTCTCCTTCTGAGACCGTTGCGTTACGAACTAGCTACATCGCTGCGCTTTCGCTTCTTAGGAGATATGAAGTCGGGGTCTCTCGCTAGCTCCGCCATTGCCAGCTGCAACTCAACGGGCGACTGCGCGTACGACAAACGCACTAGGCGCTAAACGTTTGATGTCACGTTGCCGTGGTGATTATCCGTTTCCAGGATACAAGCTCGTAAGAACAATCCCTACCACGTGCTTAACGGTATACACTTATCGGTATATACTTCGTGTGTATAGGCGATAAACTCTGAGTAGGCATGTTCTTACTATCACTTCCAATTTGACTGCTTTACAAATGAAAAGCACTAAAGTGAAAAGTCTCGGCGAACTGCGCATGCGCGGTACCACTAACTGATGGCTGGGTTTTTAGTATGCCATTACTTGTGGCTCCCGCTAGTAGCTCGCGGAGAGTCTGACACGGGCAGCCGTGAGGTGAAAGTCAGCTGCAAGGGGGCCATTGGGTTATTTGAAAGTGAGCGAGATCGCTGGGGCGGTAGAGCGCTGGGTGGCGAATAGGTGATGGGATGCCGGCGGAGGATCGAGGGCAATTTCCTGGGGAGGGGGCGGGTGTGCTTGGAGTCAGGCGTATATAGAGGGAGGAAATAATGAGGGGGTGGAAGGAGGGAGGAGTGAGAGGACAGTAAAAAGGTGGGCGGGGGGAGAGAGGTGGAAGAAGGAAGCGGTGGAGGTAAGACGGTGTCAGGGGACTGAAGAGGAAGGCCAAGGGAGTAAAGAGGGGAGACGGGGAGTGCAGAAGAGGTGGTTTTTTGCCTGGGGTTCCGCTGCTTTGTTTCGTTCATGAGGTTTGACAATGCATATGGTCGACCTGTTGGTTTAAGGGGCGACCGGTTTCGAACCGGACGAGGTGTACCATGAGTATATGCCAAATGAGTAGTGATAGAAGGAGGTGTTCTGATGAGCTCGTCACAAATTTTTTAGGAAATAAATGATGTAGATGTCGATGGCGCAAGGACCTTAGGATTTTATCCTAGACATGTACTTGTGACTCAACGCTAGTAGGCTTGTTTCCAAATGCCCCCCTCTTCTATCTCTTACCGGAGAGTCTGACACGGGCTAGCTACAGTAGTATATATAGTCATGGGGATCGACACACACCCTTTTTGTGCTTTCAAGATACACAGATAGAGCGGACCCGTCGAGGTAAGCAGTGCTAATTTGCAATTGGCTTGTTCACTTACTTTTCACTCCATAACTTTTCAACGTATTAGTTGTACGAATATCACAATAAAACCAGTCGCTGTTGTGTTGTCTCGTTGCGCATAGTTGCCGAAAACATGGTATCAGACATGTGGACAGACGGACAGACAGACAGACAGACAGACACACTTACAAACCTAGTACCGTAACCCGCGCTCGTGCATGCGCCGAGAGTTAAAAAGAACTCGTGGTACTGCATGCCACATGCATACAAGCTGACAGAATTATTCCTACCCTAACAACGGGATTACCTGTACACCTGTGCTATGATATGTATTGCAGGCCAACACCTGGTGTCCTGTTCACTAGCCTGTTTTAGCATAGGTTTGTTCTCGTGTCGATAGCCAGCGTACTACAGCGCTGGAAGATGCTGCGGTTAGTCCATGCGTGCTTCACACAACAGAGAGCATCAAATACAACTGACTACTGCCAGATTTTGCGCACAAGCATTGTTGGAGCCACTTAAATTCTGTGTAGTTACCAGACGTAGATGGGGCGGCAGGACTAGACCGGACTATACAATGACCCTCCTGCACTAGCGAGAGATTAGGTGTGGAGAAATGTTTTTGGCAACACCTGCTTACCCTACAAGGGCTGCAAAAAACTCAAGTTTTGGTTTACATCTATGTATGGACTTCCCAGGCTTTATCACACCAATGTGACAGATTATAATACGTGACTACGTCGCCTCCATCCTCTGCACGAGCAGCATGTTCCATAATTAAGCAGTAGTTAGTGGGAGTGTTTTAATAAAAAACAAAGTGACCTTAGACTTTCCTAAGGGACTTTTGTCCCTCTTCCATAAAATCAGGGGAAAAGATAGGGCAGAGGCTAGACTTGCTGTCATGTGGTGTAACTGTAAACATCCACGCACCAGGCAAGAGCAATAATTCGTGACAACACTTTTAGCTAGGTTAGACTCAACACACTACATTAGATTCTTCAAAGAAGTACTCTTCCCACAGAGCTACCAGTGTAGCTAGCAGCAGGCACCAGTACTAATAGGCGTGTACGTACGTAGGATAGTGATACCTGGAGAGGGTGTGGCAGCCGCTCGTCCAACTGCGTGCGTCGCGCCTTCTACCTTCCTACCTCCTCTTTTTCCTTCTCCGAAGAGGGCTTATCGTCTGTACGCCTCTCTCTCCATCCTGGGAGCTCTGAAGGGGGCTTGCGCCGCAAACGGCTTTGCTTGGTTCCCATTTTGACACTCGAGTACTCTGGGATAACAAAGGGGCGTATACGCAAACAAGCTACGCCTTCTTTGCATCTACTGCGCATGCGTAAGAATGGCGATGTTCTGTTGGACGGCCCTTTTGCATGGAAAAATACTGGGCAATATACTTGATCTGGTTGAAAAACTAGCCCAGGTGTCAACATTTCTGATTAGCTGTTATCCCAGTTCAATCAATTTCACCCGACCACTTTATAACATCAGTTTTGTTCCACTCGGTAATCCTCCTAAACACAAGTCCAGAAAGCTGACTACTGATGACAGTATATGATCTTTTATTGTGGATGTTGATTATTCTGTCTGTTTTTGCTGTACCAATAGTTCATCTGGTTAGCTAATAATTAAGTCTGTTGGATATGCCATAATAATGTGTATATTCCCAAGACTCGTCTGCGTTCTCTACAAGACCCTCAGTGGTTTGATCCCTCTATTCGTCACCAGATCAACGGTCTTAATACCTTCCGCAGGAAGTCCAAGTCTCACTCCTCTCCTCTCAGGTCATCAAAGATTGAATTATTAGAACAACAGTCGCAGCAACATTATTATATCGTCTGAATTTGAATCCCAGTTCCTTTCAAACTGATGTTATATACTTGGATTTCATAAAAGTGTTTTATTCTATTGCCGACAATGAGCTCCTATTCAAGTTATGGCACATTGGTATAACTGGTAGCTAATGCTTGGAAGTGGTTGCTTGCATGCCTAACTAATGTATCTCTATCAACTCTAAAACATCAACCGCTCTCCCTGTGATCTCTGGTGTTCCACAAGGCAGCTTCCTTGGCCCTCTACTGTTTCTTATCCACATTAATGATCTTCTGAGTTCCTGTTGTTTGCCGATTACTTGGCTTACTTAGAAGAGTATTCTCGTCCGTTTACTGCCCCTGAGCTAAGAAAGTTCTGTATGTATCCCTCATTCGATCAAAGCTACTGTACTGCTTACCATCTTCACCTTCTCACTGAAAGCACTGGAAAATGTATATACAGAGACGGGCCACCAAATGTTTTCTTCACAACTATGATTCTAACTATCGCCTTCGATTGCTTGACCTTCAACTGCTGCCACTAATGATGGTCAAATTATAATTGTTCATTAAGGAGCCATCTGATCATTTCGACATTTCCTGATATGTTACGTTTTGTTCCTTCAGCCTCCTATTTTTTAATTGCAACTGTTAACTCTATTCCAAACTTCTACTTTAATCGCCTTCCTCTCCTTTGGAACTCCCTCCCACTTCTTGACATGAGTCAATCAATAACTATACAAACATTTTTTGAACCATTTCACTGCAGACTTTGATCCCGACAATGCGTGCTCTTTCCACTACCTCTCTCCTTGTGCTAAATGCAGCTTACTCTCAGTCTCTTCCAATTTGGACTCTTGGATGACACGAGTGAAATCTCACGTGATCCGCGTACAAAACGCCTCAAAACTCAGCGAGAATGACTCACCATGGCTTCAAAATCACTAGCAATAGTCTATGAGCCAAT